GGTCCCAGGAAGAATTTAGAAAACCCAGTTTGACTTTTGCACTTATAAGTGTTCCAGAGCCCCATTTGGTTACTTGCACTCAGTGGTTGGAAGAGAAATTTATAAATAACAGGATCCAACAATAGTTAAATGTAGGTATACCGTTGATACAAAGAATCTGAAGCTGTATCAGTCTGACTTAAATTCAGTTGAGGTTGTTCCTGTTGTTGCTTATTCCTCAAGTCGTTTAAACGATTTCCATTAGGTTCCATTGTCTCAGCTTTTCTATTATAGCCCTGGGGTTTTCCCAGAGGTCTTTTTTTGGAGGATTTGATACAATTCAATAGATGTTCAGGACTGGCTGGTTGGGAATCGCATTTGGTAGGAATGTTTTGATTTTTTTCCATTAAATGAGGTTGTTCCTAACATGGAGAGCTTTAGCTGCCTACCTAACTTAGATTCAGACACAGCTGTTGGTTAGTGGGGATTACCTTACCTTGAATCTCAGATTGGACACTTTTTTTCTGATAAAAAAAAAAAATTGCTCCAATGACCCCCGATTCTTGCAAAAGTCCAACCCTACCAGCAAGTTTAAGTTACCAAATGGGGCTCTGGCACATTTGTAAGTGCAAAAGTCAAACTGCTTTTTACATGTGTAGACATGTGGTACACTTAGAGTAAAAGCAGTCGCCAACTTCTACCCACCATGATTATCATGGCCTGTACCACGTGTACTAGAGATAAGAAAAAAAAACACATATTATTAATATTTTTGGTAAATCTCTCTTGTATATGGTACTTAACAATAGATATGTATTTCAGACCTGGACTTCCTCAATTCCATAGTCTCAGTTCTGGTTGAGTAAATGGAAACTGCAACACCGGCCCAGCCAGGAAACATGTTGTTATTCCTATTCTTCATTTTAATCATCATTATATTTCTTATAACCAATATAATGCTTATTTATTATGTGACTCTCCCTAGATTCTTCCTTCTCTAGAGAGCCATTTCTGATATCTGAGCATGATCTTCTTATCTCCACTCAATCATATTAAGGTATCAAGCTTGTAGAACTTGAGACTGGGTGAAGTAGAATGCCTTTTTCATTAAGACTGGGAGCACTACTCATTAGCAGGCTGACTAAGCTCCAAAAGAAATGGCCGCCTCTGACATGAGGAACAGACACCATGACTTAGCTCCTAACATGGAGTACAAACTCATCCTGTATCTCTGGAGCCCTTACAGGGTACTATCAGCCAGGCCAGCTGAGCCCAGGTTTTATAGCAAGCTTGTTACTGCTCCCCTTCCTCCTTTTTCATCCGGGCTTGGGACCAGCAAAGGCAGAGTTAAGCCCTATCTTCTAATTCCATTGAATCCCCTCCTTTTATCATGTATAAAGAGCATTTAATTTTTTTTTTACTATTTGAATGTTTGAAATAATTAAAAAAGCTTCTGGATGTGTTTCTTTTTGTTTTTATTAAAACTGTCTCGTGTGTGTGTGTTTGACATCAGGCAGTGTTTTATCCATTGCACATGTTCTCCTGTGGAAGTCCAGAGAAATGCTTGAGATGGTTTTTTTTTAAAAGAAACTCATCTCTCTCCAGAAACCTTTTTAATTATTTAATTAATGTCCAGGAGATTTAAATCAATTATTTAAATGTTTATTTACCAACTTTTTTATATGTAAATAATTTAATATGCAAATCTATTTGTTGCCTTTTTTTTTGTGTGTGTGTGGATTAAATAGACATTTGCTTTTATATACAGTAGAACTACATCCCTGTGAAGGAAAACACCTAATTGAAGAGCTAAAGTGTCCTTTAGGGAGAGGTGTCCTCTTACTGGAGAGTTGCTAAATACAGTAGAACTACCTCCCTGTAAAAGGACAACACCTAATTGCAAAGCCAAAGTGTCCTTTAGGAAGAGGTGTCCTCTTACCGGAGAGTTACTAAATACAGTAAAACCTCCCTGTAAAGGACAACACCTAATTGCAGAGCCAAAGTGTCCTTTAGGGAGAGTTGTCCTCTTACCGGAGAGTTGTTAAATACAGTAGAACCTCCCTGTAAAGGACACCTAATTACAGAGCCAAAGTGTCCTTTAGGAAGAGGTGTCCTCTTACCAGAGAGTTGCTAAATACAGTAGAACCTCCCTGTAAAAGACAACACCCAGTTACAGAGCCAAAGTATCCTCTATGGAGAGGTGTCCTCTTATCGGAGAGTTGCTATAGTAGAATCTCCCTGTAAAGTACACCTAATTGCAGAGCCAAAGTCTCCTCTAGGGAGAGGTTTCCTCTTACCGGAGAGTTACTAAATACAGTAAAACTTCCCTGTAAAGGACACCTAATTACAGAGCCAAAGTGTCCTTTAGGGAGAGATGTCCTCTTACCAGAGAGTTGCTAAATACAGTAGAACTACCTCCCTGTAAAAGACAACACCTAATTACAGAGCCAGTGTCCTTTAGGAAGAGGTGTCCTCTTACCAGAGAGTTGCTAAATACAGTAGAACCTCCCTGTAAAAGACAACACCCAGTTACAGAGCCAAAGTATCCTCTATGGAGAGGTGTCCTCTTATCGGAGAGTTGCTATAGTAGAATCTCCCTGTAAAGGACACCTAATTGCAGAACCAAAGTGTCCTTTAGGGAGAGGTGTTCTCTTACCGGAGAGTTGCTAAATTGTGAAAATGGCAATTTTGCAAATGAAAACTGTCCTTTACAGAGAGGTGTCCTCTCGTGGAGGTTGTTCTACTGTATATGTTTATTTATTTTAAAAAATGTTTTAATCAAGCCTAACCTCACTTAGGACCAAGATGTTGTTAAAGCCAAGTTGTTGTTAGAAAGAAGACTGTTGTTGATTCTCTGAATTCTAGATTCAAATTTTATATGTACACCAATACCTCGCTTTGCGTCGTTTCGTTTTGCGTTTTTTTTCGAAGTTGCGTCGCTGCTTAATTTTTTACTGATTTTCACTGTGCCTCGTTAGATTTTCAAAGTTGCGTTGTTTTGGATTCGAGTCTTTAATTTTTTTGAATTTTTTTTCCTAAAATATGGCAACACCTTTGTTTTTGATTGCGCCTTCACATATTTTCACTTTGCGTCGTGTTTTTTTTGGAACGTAACCCCGACGCAAAGCGAGGTATGGGTGTATATCATTTTATAAAATATTTTATACAAACCCCTCCTCTCCAACCATCAAATACATTTTACAAATTTATTTAAATTCGAAACTATTATAGACGCGTATGATTCTTTTTTTTTTTTTAAATAAACAATTTATACTGCCCTTACTATATTATAAACTGCTGGGAGGGTTCACCACCGATGAGCCAGGCCCTCCCATTAATTTTTACATTGCAGTAAAGGGCAGTAGAAATTGTTTAATTTTAATAAATAATCATACACGTCTATATTAGTTTCGAATTTAAATAACAGATGACGTGCTAATGCATCATAATATAATACATCTTAACAAAAATATTTATATAAAATAAAAGGATTTAAAAGCACGAATGTTTCTTTTATACATAATACAAACTTCTACTCTCCTCACTGCGATGAAAAATATATTGGGAGGGCTTGGCTCCTCAGTGGAGAACCCTCCTAGCGGTTTCGCCAATTTTTCATCGCAGTAAGGGCAGTAGAAGTTTGTATTATGTATAAAAGAAACATTCGTGCTTTTAAATTCTTTCATTTTATATGTATAGATGGCGCGTTATTGCTTTGTGTTAAAATATATTTGTAAAAAAAAAATAATTTAAAAATAAAATAATAAAAGTCAGATGTTGGTATTAAAACCAAAAAAAGCCTTATCCTGCCCACGTTCACATGAACTTTTTTAGATGGCAGAGATCTGCCCCAGTGAATTTTTTACACAACCCTAGCCATTTTAAAAAGTTAATCATAAATATTTATTTTTTAGTTGTTGTGTAGTAAAGAGATAAAAATTCATTTTTTAAAAATAAATTATTGTCAGAATTGTTTTCCAACCCCAATTGATAATTTGGATTATAGATTATAGGTAATAAAACCAAATCCAAATAAATAAATAGTGTGTGACATTTCGGTAACAGCATTGTTACCATTTTCAGACAAAAGTGCTGAATGTACTTTTCAGTACTTTCAGTACATCCAGTACTTTTGTCTGAAGATGGTAACATCGCTGTTACCGAAATGTCACACACTATTTATTTATTTGGATTTGGTCTTATTACCTTGTGTTTATAATGTATAATCCAAATTGTGCCTTATCATAATTTGCATGTGAATCAAGCAATTTAAATAAAATATTGAAAACACTTTTTTTTTTAAAGAGATAATTTGTTCTTATAAAATGCACATTTAAAAAAAAAGATGTTGTTTCTTATCCTCTTGTGTAAAGATTACACAAATACGACATGATGACGGCCTAAACATTTTTAAAAGATAATTAAACTGTTTTCATACAATCACTTGTTAATAAATATTTAAAGCTGTGTTTATTTTTTGTTAATACACTAGAATCTCCATGAGAGGACACTCGCGCTAGAGGACATCTTTCCACAAAGGACAGTTTTCATTTGCAAAATTACAATTTTTACAATTTAGCAACTCTCCAGTAAGAGGACACATCTATCTAAAGGACACTTTGACTCTACAATTAGGTGTTGTCCTTTACAAGGAGATAGTTCTACTGTATTTATAAACATACAAAATTTTAATTTGAATCAATCTGTATTTTTACATTATTCTCATAGCAAACAATGTAAATATCTCTAAAGGCCTGGTAATACTAGAATTCATATCTTGATAAAAGAAAAGCTCATCAAAATATCCTAGTAACAAGTTCAATAAACAGAGAGATATATTATATAAGATAATGCGGCTTGTGATTGTAAAACGACATTTTAAAATTATCCTGCATGTGTTTTTCTTTTCAACGAAAAATAATTTTTTTTATTTTAAATAGAAATAACGATTATTTCTAACCTAAAGGATGAGGCATGAAAGGATGAATTGTGAAGAGTAATGATAAACGGAAAAATAAAAGTGTCCAGGGATGGGAATCGAACCCACAGTGTTCTGCTTACCGGACAGATGCCATGTCCACTAGGCTAACTTGGACATTCGATTCCCATCCCTGGACACTTTTATTTTTTCCGTTTATCATTACTCTTCACAATTCATCCTTTCATACCTCATCCTTAAGGTTAGAAATAATCGATATTTCTCCTTAAAATAAAAATTTATATTTTTCGTTGAAAAGAAAAACACATGCAGGATAATTTTAAAATGTCGTTTTACAGAGAGATATATCTCAGAGGTTTATCTGAAATATTAAAAGACAAGATTGTGTACATATGATTTTTATTGATGTTATTCAATGAATATATATTTTGTGTTAAAGAGAAATTTATTTCACAGAGAGGAGAAATGCACATTATGAACTCTTATTTTTATCAAAATATTTTATTTTTATTCTTTTCTTTAAACACAAGGTAATAAGACCAAATAAATGAATAGTGTGTGACATTTCGGTAACAGCGTTGTTACCATCTTCAGACAAAAGTACTGAATGAGAAATTTTATCACAGCATGTTTTAAATAGTTCCTGTTATCAAGTGTGTAAACAAGATAACAGATAAGAACATGCTGTGGTATAATTTCTCATTCATTTTTCTGAAGATGGTAACAACGCTGTTACCAAAATGTCACACACTATTTATTTATTTGGTCTTGTTACCTTGTGTTTATAATCTATATATGTTGAAATAATACAAATTGTGCCTTATCACCTATTGTTATTGTTATCCATGTTAAATCTATATCCCATTTTGTTAAATGTGTTCCAAATGCCTGTAAAAATAATAAAATATATTTGGAGATGCTGGTCGTGTAAATTTCTCCTTTTTTGCATATTTATTCAGAAGATTTACATATTTGTAAATATAATTCTGTATATAAGGATTTTTAATAAAAGTGTGTCAGTTATAAATCAGGTGAATTGTTAGTGTCATCAGTGTGTTGTGGGCACTTTTAAGGAAGCAAATAGGCTTCGGTTGGAGACCAGAAGAAGTCTGGCAAGAAGATACAGTCAACACAACTATTTAGATAAGACCAGACATATCCAGGATGCGGCAAGCTTTACGAGCTTCGTAAGAGTGAGGCAGTGATCGTATCCGAAACAATATTTTTTGAACCAATGAAGGTTTTGGTTTGGTTGGGTGCTATATAGACAACTAGGTGCTGTCCTTTACAGGGAGGTTCTAGTATATAGTCTAAATTTTGCTGCTTATAATTAGGGAGAAATGGTGTTTAGACATAAAAATTGTACAGTAGAACTACCTCCCTGTAAAGGACAACACCTAGTTGCAGAGCCAAAGTGGCCTTTAGGGAGAAATGTCCTCTTACCGGAGAGTTGCTAAATAGTAAAAATGGTAATTTTGTAAATGAAAACTGTCCTTTGTAGAGAGGTGTTCGCTAGCGGGGTGTCCTCTAAAAGGAGGTTCTACTGTATGAATCTAAACATGGTAGTGGTACTCAAGTCATGATAATCATGGTAGGTAGTAAGCAACTGCTTTTATTCTTATGTGAACTGCATATTTATATATGTAGAAAGCAGTTCGAATTTTACACTTACAAATACCAAAGACACAATTGGTTACATGCACTCACTGGTTGGATTATACTTTTGTAAAAATAAGGGGGCCGTTGAAGTATTTTTTTGTGGGAGGAAAAGGCTACCCACATATACAATGCTGGATCTGATTGTGACTGTCGAGAATTGACTGTTTATTCCATTCCTCCACAGCCAGTATGTAGGATCATTGTTTGTTAAAAATTCTTTTAAATTGTTCTCTCTCTCGCTCCTGTCGAAGAACTGCGAGGTTTGGAAGTTTGTGATAGATGGTTTTATAATGAAGATAAACTTCTATAAAGATAATGGTCACCTCTCTAATCAAAATAGACGTCAAAGCTTGACGCCATCATTTGATTGTCGCCTCAAACTAGCGGTCTCAGGTCGGTGACAAAGCCACAACACCAGCTTTGGCAAACTTAGAAGCGTCCACCTGTAGACTATAGTTCGGGCTAATGGCCTTCGTCAGCCTAGGGCGGACTTTATTCTACGAGATCCACACGGGATCTTCACAATCTGTTAAAGAGGTGTTTAGCATAACCACTTTGTCAACTAAACAGCTTTTTGGCGTATTGTGAAAATTCCATTAGATCCCGTGTGGATCTCGTGGAATACAGTCTGCCTTAGACTGACAAGGGCCATTAGCCCGAACTATAGTCTCCAGGTGGATGCTTCTCAGTTTGCCAAAGCTGGTGTTATGGCTTTGTCACCGACCCCAGACCGCTAGTTTGCGGTAACAGTCAATAGATGGCGTCTAGTTTTGACGTCTATTTTGACGGTAGAAGTGACCTTTATATTATATCAATTACCTCCTGCCAAAATTTCCTTCAAAAAAGAAACTTGTTGTATCTATTATGTAATCTCGGAGATTACCATAAAGTAAGACACCCAGTGTTTCAACGATGTGAAAGAATAATAGAAACTGCCGGAATGTTTGAGAAAGAACATCGTTTGCTGAGGTTGGGCCAGCCAATCAGGTAGCACCGACACACCTGGAGCTGTGACCTTGGACACTATCTCGATCTTGCGTTCTTTGGTGTAAATTTGGTGATAAATTTGTGTAATCGTTTTACAACTTTGAAGAGATCAAGACAGAGAACCCTCATCGTGCGTATTGACCACATACTGCACTGTATAAATACGTAACAATACATAAACACATGGAAGCTGAGTGGAGAGGTTTTGTAATATAATTGAAATTATATTTTAACACAGTTCAGTTCTGTACATAGAATGTAAACAACCTACGTTATCTATCACTAACAACAACAACCTGTAAGTAAATAAACCATCTAATACCCGAGCAATCTTATAATACGTTTGTTAATAACGTAAACAAAGTTTTACATGTTTGTTTTCTTCCAAAAGGACCATCTCTCCAGTTTTCCAATTTCATATAAGGTGATGATAGGTTAGGACTTATTTATTAAATATCTCTTGTATATTAATCTTGATTTGAGGCTATAATAGAGAATATAATAATTATAGATTGGATTTTTGGTGTGATCAAGTTATAAGACTCGTCAATTAATTAGTAAAAATTTCGCCTCTTTTCCAATATGGAAATCTTATAAGTATTGTCTGGGTTGATGAGTTTATTACTTGAATTAAGTAACCTAAAAAAAAAAAAGGGGGGGGAGAAGCCCGACCACACCTCCCTGCGGTGCCCCTGGACCCATGGAATATTTGACCAAATTCTGACCCAAGGTGACTAACGTGGGAACGGCACCCATTTTCCAATGAAGAGCAGATAGTGGACATTTTGCTGGACATGGACCCAGAACAGCAGCTTTACACACCCAAGATAGAGCAATGTCCTATTGCTGTGATAGAGATGTATGGAGACATCTGAGGCTCTTCATTGGACACGACAACAACAACAGAAAATTGACATGGACCCAGAACAGCAGCTTTACACACCCAAGATAGAGAACATTGCTGTGATAGAGATGTAATGGAGACATCTGAGGCTCTTCATTGGACACGACAACAACAACAGAAAATTGACATGGACCCAGAACAGCAGCTTTACACACCCAAGATAGAGAACATTGCTGTGATAGAGATGTATGGAGACATCTGAGGCTCTTCATTGGACACGACAACAACAAGTAACCTAAAACTTATTATAAATGTGATAAGTTATTGATTGTTAATGATCAAAAGAAGACATGTCTGATTCCATCCGTTGAATCACGATTCTATAATGTGTTGAATCTGTGCTCTACAGTACGAAAGTTCTGAGGAAATCTTGGCGAAGAGGTGTTTGTAGTATGAGGTAGTATGCTTACCATTGTAATATGTTCTTCAGTTAATGGGTCGATAATACAATTTCTATCTTGGAATGAGATTGAAGAAATCTGGATGAAGTATCCATTCCTGATGACGCCATGTTATTTTGCCACTGTAGTAGTGTTAGGAGTATCGTTGCTGAAAGATATTTCAGAATGTCAATGTTTTCATTTTCGTCGATAGTTGGTCTTTATACATTTGTATTTTCCATATGATAGGTTTTAAATTGTGTCCTTGCATTAGATTTCTCATCAGGAGCCCGGGCTGCAGTTCCTGATGAGGCGGTTACCCCGGACGCGGTAGCATTGCTGTAGGTTTTGCTCTTCATTGGAAAATGGGTGCCGTTGCCACGTTATTCACCTTGGACCAGAATTTGGTCAAATATTCCAAGGATCCAGGGTGGACCGCAGGGAGGTGTGGTCGAAATTCTCCCCCGACTGCTGTGATAGAGATGTATGAAGACATCTGAGGCTCTTCTTTGAACACAACAACAACAACAGAAAATTGACATGGACCCAGAACAGCAGCTTTACACGCCCAAGATAGAGGACATTGCTGTGATAGAGATGTATGGAGACATCTGAGGCTCTTCTTTGAACACAACAACAACAACAGAAAATTGACATGGACCCAGAACAGCAGCTTTACACGCCCAAGATAGAAGACATTGCTGTGATAGAGATGTATGGAGACATCTGAGGCTCTTCTTTGGACACGACAACAACATTTGATATAGGTTTCAATGATTTTAGATTCATGTTGATTCTATCAAAAGTGATTTTCTTGAAGATTTTGTAGCGGACAGACATTGAGTTCTTCAAGATTCAACTTTCCATATCAAGCTTCACGTTATCAATGTATATTTCGGATTCATTCGATCATATTTTATAGTCTTCATACTATTAATAAGTATAAAATATGTGAAAAACGTGTGTTAGAGACACAAAATTTAGGTTTCTATAGGAAATTGAGGATTCCACAACAATGGGTTAGTCTGGTCAGGCTAGGTTGGACGGCATTGATGGCAGCACCTTGGACGTTCTATCAGCCGCAAAGTGACAAATACTCATAATGATAGCTAAGAAGAACTAAAAGCAAACAGCGACATATTTATTTATTGAAGAGAAATAAGCTTGGCGAGAGGTTTCGGACATCCTTGGAGCAGTGGCCACCCAGACCTTTCGGTCCATAAACCG